AGGAGAGAAAGAATCTTCCATCTGCTGGTTCACTCCCCAAGTGACCATAACAGCTGGAATTGAGCCAATCAGGAGCCAGGAGTTTCTTCCAAGTCTCCCATGTGGGTGTAGGGTCCCAAGGCTTTGGGCCATCCTCGACTGCTTTCCCAGCCCATAAGCAGGGAGCTGGATGGGAAGTGGAGCAACTGGGACTAGAACCATGGCCCATATGGGATCCCTGTGCTTGAAGGGAAGGATTAGCCAATTGAGCCATTGTGCTGCATGCAGCAGAGATCTTAAAATCTAGAGACACAGACACCCCTGAAGTTCCATCTTTGCTGGTTAAAGCTTAGGAGACCCCACAGCTCCAAATACCTGTGTGTCATCTGTAACAATATTCAATGATGATTAAACCTACATGGAAAATGATGCTTTTTTAGCAACACAATGAAGAGATGCAGCGTGCACGTGTGTGCACATGTTAGAAATCTGAGTTTGGGGAAGCTAACGTGCAGACTCCCATGTATAGCGCATGCTCTATCCCAAATGCCATACACAGGGCTAGACAAAAGGAAGTTGACAAATGCTACTCTTATCTTTCCTTTTTATGAAAGCAATGACAGCGTCTCCCCAGCACGATTCTCAAGGACAAGATATCCATCTTTTCTAAACAAAGGTCTGGCCTTCATCACTACCCTGCAAACGAGATTCCCTCCATGTTCACACATCTAACACCAAGTGAGAGGTGGCAGAAGCTGACAGCGATGTAAAACTCAACAAGCAAACTATACAACCAAAACAAAAATGAAAAAAAAAATGCCGTTTTTGTTAGATTATTCACCTTGCTCAATAATTATGAATTTATTTGGTAATTTTATAATCCTCTGTTGGCTTACAGCTAATATGCATATGTTGAATTCATTCACAGATTCTGTTTTCTTAACATTTCCATTCCCAAAGCAAACTTCATTACAATGGCAATTCATCAGGTAAGAAGAGTCAGGTCCGTGTTACTGCTTGAAGTAAATCTTCAACCTTCAACACAAGTGTCAGCTTACCAAACTTCAGGAGATGAGAAAAGAGCCGAGCTATTTCCTAAACTTTCTTCCCTGTCTAACTGTGTCCCAAGTTTTGCTTTGGGCATTGAGGAAGACAGTGCTTGAAAAGGCAGAAGCAACATGACTAAGAAATAAGAGTGCTAGTGTCATTTACATGTCACGCTTACACCTGCATTACATGTTGCAGTTCAAGGTCCTTCATGTCTGGTTCAGATAAAGCAAGCTTCAACCCTGCAGGGAAGTGAAGTTGAGCCAGTGTTGCTAACATGGATAACGGATTCTAACCTGCGCATGCGTCCCTTGGGCATGCCGGGCTGACAGCGAGGCCTGCTGCTTAGGAGTGCAGGCGGCAGGGCAGTGATCCCTGTGCTGGGCGGTTTTAAGGAAAATCCTGCCGGTCCTAGGACTCGGGTTAGTTCTAAAAGTACCAGTCAACATTTGATAGATTAATAAGCACAGCTGATTGGGCGTCATAAATAAAGCTGATCACCACCGTGAGGTTGCTCATGAATAAAAAGGGTATCCATTAAAATAATTATATAATACAAAAACCCATTATAATTACAGTTGCAAAGATCACTGTAATTATTCACAGATTTTGAAAAATGAGATCATGCCTTTAAACAGGAGTTTCAGAGCCCACATCCATTGCCACTCATCTGTTCCTTGGTGCATTCATGTGTTTAGTTCCGTAGGACTTGAGCTAAATAATAATAATAATTGCACATGAGGGAGATGGGGAGAAAGCTCTGGGTAGAAGTGAATGCCGGAAGGCAAGAAACAGTGAGCCTGCAGACATGGACAATGATAAACAAACCTGCACGATGCATCTGGCTGAGGGCAGGGGGACACCAACCCTGGAGGCCATCCTACAGTGGACGGTGCCTCAACAAGCAGAGGGGCTGTACTCTCCTCCACTGCTAGTAAAGCAACAAAGAAACAAAGAAGTCTAGTGTTCAGTAGCAAATGCAATCCCATAGTAAGAGTATAAAGGAACAGTGTTTCCATTTTATAGGGAGAAGGTCTATTCCAATATCACAGAGCCAGTGGCAAGGCAACAGGGCAGGGCGCGGAATGAGGTGGCGGGGGTCGGGGCAGTCTTGAAGCCAGCAGTGGGCCCCTGGACAGGCAGGTGCTGCAGACAGACCCTGCTTGCCACAGCCACTGAGCACTGTGGCCGAGATCGGCACCCCCTGGCCTCTTGACTGCCCCCAGCTCTTCCTCTGTACCCCTTCACCTCAAAGGTTACACAGAAACCAGGACACATTACAGGGTGGCCTTTACCAGGTCCCTTGGGAACTCAGCAGGGGAGCAAGCCTTTTTCTATTCCCAGGAATATTAAGGCTTTGGAGCAAAGGCAAAAGCACCTCCGTGATGACCTCCGAGTGATCCATCCAGAGGCACTGGCCAGTACGGGCAAAGTATATGCCTACTAAGTCAAACTTGTCTAACTTTTCTTCATAGAGAAATCCGTTCTCCCACACCTACTGCATTCCATCAGTAAGACAGCCTCCCCGCGTGCCTCTCACCAGAATCTACCTGTATTAGACTGTGACATAAATCACATCTTGAAGAGTTATAAACAAACAAAAGCCACTTAGGCTAGGAATCCAGCCACCTAACCAAGGGCCAACCAGGCAGCAGTTGCTGCTCTAGACATTGACTGGTTCCTTCATGAAAACAAAGTCTATGAGGCCTGGCGACCCCAACTTACTCTCAAGGGCTCAGTCCTAGACACAGGCACTGAGCTGCTGCCTACCACCCAGGACACCTAGCAACTGCACGCGCAAACGCCATCCCCGCGAGCCTACCAGGAATCAAGGCAGTCCAGTCAATTCCACAGTCCACAGAACCAGCTCATTCTGAAGGAGCAGGCATACTCCAAAGCACACTCTCTTGGAGGGAGAGCTGCAATGGAGAAGGAAGTGATGTTCGGTAAGGTTTCCTGACCGCCACAGCAACGGCGGTGGGGTCTTCCTTGGCAGCAGGGACATTCTCTGGGACCCAAGGAAGCACCTGAGTGCCCTGTTCTCAGCAGGGGGCTAGGAAGTGGTCCCCTACACCCTTGGCCTTGCCAGGTGCAGAACATGCATAATGGATGCTGGGGTTGGGGAGGCGGGGACTAAAGCAGCCTGGGAAGCCTCTCAGGAGGCTGGCACAGGGCAGCCAAGCCCCTCTCCTCTGGCTTGCAGGGAGAGGAAAAGGCCTCCAAGGCCCTGGTGGCCAAGGCAGGCAGCGTGCTGAGCCGGAGGGCTGCGCACTCCTGGGCCAGGGATCCAGTCCTCACCCAGTGGTAGTCACAGAGGCCATGGTGCGACCTTCAGCTCAAAGGGTCAACTCTACAGCTCAGTCCCTCCACAACCCTCAGGTGACTGCTCGTGAGAACAGCCATGTGGATTGGGGCCCGTCTGCCAGGTTTCAGAGAGCCCAGCCTCTCCACAGTCCCTGCCAGGAACCTAGACACTCTGAGTCTACTTGGCTATTCTTTCAGTGTATTCCATCACGGCAGGCCAGAGCCTCGCTCGGCACTGAGGTGCTCACACAGAATTCCTACCCAGGTACCTGCAAAAATGAGATGCAAGTCCTCTGACCAGACACCGGGGCCAGCAGCCTCTCGCCCAAAGCCCCTGTGAGGTCTACTCTGCAACTCGCACAGTGGCCCAGTGCTGCAAGGATGCCCCCATCAAGGGCAAGTGCCAGTGGTACCCCAGTGGTACCCCAGAGGCTGCACCCCAGTCTCACTTCTCTGTCCTTGGATGAGCTGGGCTGGGATTTCTTTGACAAGCAACTCTGAGAAGTCAGGCGTCGCCCACATTGCCTGCCAGCCTACCTGGTACACATGACCCACAGCCCACCTGCCAGCCATGAGTGTTATATGTAACCTATGACATGACTGGAGGGTCCTGAGAGAGCAACATGCCTTCTAGCCAATTGCCATGTTGGCTTGGAGGCCTGTTGGGGACCACCCTTCTGCCTTCCCCTTTCTTAGTCTATGTAAGATTGTGCTGGCTTTACAATAAACGAACAGGCTCAATCAGACTGTCTCCAGTGGGTCTTGCTGCTGCTGAATATGGCCGCCTCACCCCCTTGGTGGTTTCGGGGGCCTGCCGGTCAGGAAACCCCTGAAACCAGAGGCCTGCTATGGCTTCTTCATCCAGGAGATCAAGGAGACGTAGGCTGGCTGTTGAACCTGAGGGTACTGTCATGCCAGGGTTCCAACTCAACCAACACACCTGTGTCTGGTATCAGACTGAATTTTCAGCACAATGCCCATTTTTTCGCTTTCACATTCATACAAATACATACGCACATACCATGTATTTAAAAGATCTCCTTGAAAAAAGTCAAGGAAGCGCCTTTCTTTAGATCCTGCAAGTCCTAGCTGCTATCCTTCAAGCTCATAAGGAACTGTACAAAAGAAAGGGCTTTCCAAAAACATGTAACTGTTCTAGAACAAAAGGGCTCTGGGGAGCTGGCTGGGCCAGGCAGGGAGCATATGGTCACTGGGGACCAGGAAGGAAGACCATGTGAGCACCAGCCCTTCCAATACACAATCCCTGGGCTGTGGAGGGGCCAGGGCAGAGGGGAGCCCTGGCTTGGCAAGGGGCTCCAAGAGAACTACCCAAGTCACAGGATAGAGAGGGAGAAAGGGAGAGAGGCAGGCTGCTACTGCTCCAAGCTAAGCAGTGTCGCAGGTCTTCCACTGCGCACAGCCCAGCACTACCCGTAAAATTCAGGGGACCAGGAAGCTTCCCCAATGTGGAAACTTGCACTCATGAATCCAATCTCCCAGTGTAAAATTCAGTGGCTTTTTCGGCATCCTTTTCACCAGGGATATCACTAGTCTTCCTTTGGGCATCAGAGCTAGTAAACAGAACTGTACTACATAGCCGTTTTCCAAAGCAACGTTATAGTTGAGGACAGGTGTTCAGAGGCGAGTGGGTGACACTGCTGCCGCCCGGGCTGTGCATGTTAGGATCAGCTGAGGATCTTACTGAGGATCCTATCGTAGTAGGGGCAGAAGACCATCTTGTTATAGTTGACCAGGCGAACAAATTTAATAGCCACTTCCTCCAGCTCCTTCTGCACGGGCCCCAGCCCTCCAGGGACCTCGGGCAACTGCTTCTGATGACCCCAGGCCAGACAGGTCTCCAGGAAGGCCTGGATGCGGGACTCTGCAATGGGAAAGAGAACATGTTAGACCTTGCTTGCTCAGGGAGACCTCTGGGACTCCTGACCAGCTTCACGGACCCTTCTTCCATGGCCACCTGCCACACCCTGCGATTCAGAATACCCATCCGGATCCTGCTGTTTCCTTCCCCGCCCCCTCACTAATCTTGTTCCTCCTTTGTCCTTGCTCCCTGCACGATGCTGGCCAAGGACGCTCAGGACACGCTGGTCTGCAGGGCTGCTTGGGGATGGAAGAAGGGAGGCCGAGAAGCTCTGCCCCTAGAGGCGGCAAAACAACGCAGGGACTTGTCACCTTGCTGCCTGTGAGCCACCTCCCAAACTGAACTGCTAGGGCCTGCACCCCTGGCCCTCTCCCAGAAAGTCTCTCGGTGAACATTTCTTGGGCTTCCCCCACAATGCTCGTCTCAAGAGCCAAATAAGTTGTGCCATACTTCCTGCAGATTTTATTATGAAAACAGTAGGGACTTTTCAAACTCCATCCCCCGCCCTGGAGTTCCATCTCAGGGGGCAGGCAATTCATTCCCTGACGAACCCCAAGAGACACACTGTTGATACTGCCAGCAGGATGGGCGATCCATCCCCGCTCTTCTCCAGAGCTAGTTCGGTTCTCAGGTTCCCAGAGCCGGAAGCCCCAGCCTCTGCTATCCCTGGGCTTTACCCAAGGGCTGTCCTAGATATTACAGAGTCACCAGCATCAGGACAAGGAACAGCCTCTCCCCTTCCTGCCTGGCTACCAACGCCTAGGGTGCAGCCATGACGACCCCAGGCCTGCAAGATCTGCGTCAGCACCACCTGCCTGAGACCCCCAGTTGGGCCCTGTGCCCGGCTAGAAGCAAAAACACAGCAATCTTTGACCATTTTTTTTTTCATGAATAAAAATTAAGGACAAAAATGTGTACCATTAGAGGCAGCCTTGTGTCAACTCCCAGCCTTTTTCTTTTTTTAAGATTTATTCTTATTACAAAGTCAGATATACAGAGAAGATCTCCCATCTGATGATTCACTCCCTAAATGAGTCCAACAGCCAGTGCTGTGTGGATCTGGAGCTAGGAGCCAGGAACTTCCTCCAGGTCTCCCACATGGGTACAGGATTCCAAGGCTTTGGGCCATCAGCTACTTTCCCAGGCCACAAGCAGGGAGCTGGATGGGAAGTGGAGCTGCCGGGATTAGAACCAGCGCCCATATGAGATCCTGGCGCATTCAAGGTGAGGACTTTAGCTGCTAGGCCACAGCACCGGGCCCATCCCCCATTCTTTTTCAAGCTAAATACAACCACTGACCCTTCAGGCTGACTGAAGCCTGCTAATTAACTTCTCACCATTTATTATTACATTACCGCACTATCATATTGTGTTTATTAAACTTACCTGCTTTCAAAGAATCTGGAGGAAGGTTTCATTATTAAATCAGGGCCACTGTTGTGGTATAGTGCATTAAGCTGCTACCTGGGACACCAGCATCCATATGAGTGTCTATTCAAGTCCTGGCTGCTCCACTTCTGATGCAGTTCCCTACTAATGTGCTCAGGAAGATGGCCCAGTGTTAGGACCACTGCACCTTTACGGGAGACCTGCAGGGAGTTCCTTGCTTCTGGCTTCAGCCTGGCCCAGCCCCTACCATTCACTCATTTGTGAAGGAGTCAGCTGATGGAAGATCTGTTTCCTCTGTGTGTCTCTCCCTCTCTGTTTTTACAACCTTTAGTTATGTAAGGTGCAATTTCACCCTCTCTGCCGCAGCACCAGATGGTCTTCCTCTAACTTTTCTTTCAGATAAGCAAACAGTAAATCTTTATAAGCATTTTAATTAAATCAGGCTAAAAATTCTAATTTGAATCTTAAAAAGTGAACACTGGGCCTGGCACGGTAACATAATGGCTAAAGTCTTCACCTTGCATGTGCCGGGATCCCATATGGGTACTGGTTCGTGTCCCAGCTGTTCCTCTTCTCTACCAGATCGCTGCCTGGGAAAGCAGTTGAGGACGGCCCAAAGCCTTGGGACCCTGCACTGGTGCGGGAGACCTGGAAGAAGCTCCTGGCTCCTGATCAACTCAGCTTCGGCCCTTGCGGCCAGTCGGGGAGTGAATCATTGGACAGAAGATCTTCCTCTCTGTATATCTGACTTTGCAATAAAATAATTCTTTAAAAAATTAAAAAGTAAACCCTGCATTCCTTGGTCATCCATAGAACAGAATTGCCCCTAAGCTTTATGATGGTGTAACTGACCGATAAAACTGCATATACTTACAGGGTAAAAGTTGTCGATATATGCGTATATTATGCTAAGGTTGTCAGGCTAAAAGCTAATTAATGGAAATACATCCCCAGTGTCACTACTATAAAGATTAAAAGTAGCAACTAATATAGAATTAAATAAACATTCTTGGGGGCCCAGCGTAGTGGTGTAGCAAGCTAACCCTCCACTTATGGTACTGACAAGTGCCAGTTCAACTCTCAGATACTCCACTCCCGATCCAGCTCCCTTCTTGTGGCCTGGTTAAGTGCCACTGCACTCACATGGGAGGCCCACAAGAGACTCCTGGCTCCCAGCTTCAGACCAGCCCAGTCCTGACCACTGTGGCCATTTGGGGAGTGAACGAGCAGACAGAAGATCTTTCTGTCTCTCCTCTCTAACTTTACCTTTCCAATAAAAATAAAATTTTTAATATTTATTATATTATATATTACTGGAAAGGCAGATTTACAGAAAGAAGGAGATACAGAGAAAAAGATCCTCCATATGCTGGTTCACTCATCAACTGGCTACAATGGTTGGGGCTGAGCCAATCTGAAGCCAGGAGCCAGGAGCTTCATCTGGGTTTCCCACAGTGGTGCAGGGGCCCAAGGCTTTGGGTTTAGACACTGACCCATTATGCCAGGCCCCAAAATAATAAATCTTAAAAAAAAAATTGGGGGCCCGGCGCGGTGGCACAAGTGGCTAAGGTCCTCACCTTGCATGCCCAGGATTCCATATGGGCGCCAGTTCTATCCCAGCGGCCCTGCTTCCCTTCCAGCTCCCTGCCTGTGGCCCGGGAAAGCAGTCGAGGACAGCCCAAAGCTTTGGGAACCTGCACCCACGTGGGAGACCCGGAAGAGGCTCCTGGCTTCGGATCGGCATAGCACCGGCCGTTGCGCTCACTTGGGGAGTGGATCGTTGGATGGAAGATCTTCCTCTCTGTCTCTCCTCTCTGTATATCTGCCTTTCCAATAAAAAAAATAATAAAATCTTTAAAAAAAAATTGGGCCTTTCACAATAGCCTTGGGCTCCAATCCTAATCCCAGCTGCTCCACTTCCCATCCAGCTCCCTGCTTGTGGTCTGCAAAAGCAGTAAGAGATGGCCCAAAGCCTTGGGACCCTGCACCTGTATGTGAAACCTGGAAGGAGCTCCTGGTTTCTGGCTTCAGACCGGCTCAGCTCCGTCCACTGCAGCCACTTGGGGAGTAAACCAGTGGATGGAAGGTCTTGGTCTCTGTCTCTCTGTAAATCTAACTTTTCAAAAAATAAATACATAAATCTTAAGGGAAAATTATTGAGACTAATATTGTGATATAGTAAGTAAAGCTGCTGCCTACTAGCATCCCATATGGGTGCCAGTTTGTGTCCTGGCAGTCTGTGAGGTCTGGCTCTTTGCTAACAGCTTGGGAAAAGCAGAGGAAGATGGTCCAAGTCCTTGAGTCACTGCCACCCACTTGGGAAGACTTGGATGAAGCTCCTAGCTCCTGGCTTTGGTCTGGACCAGCTATGGCCATTGTGGCCATCTAGAAAGTGACCCATGGGTAGATCTCTTGTTCTTTCTCTTTCTCCCTCCCTCCTTTTCTATGTAACCTTCCAAATAAATAAATCTTTAAAAAAAAATACTTATTTGAGGGCCTGGCATGGTGGCCTAGTAGCTAAAGTCCTTGCCTTGAATGTACCAGGATCCCATATGGGCACCAGTTCTAAGTCTGGCAGCCCCACTTCCCATCCAGCTCCCTGCCTGTGGTCTGGGAAAGCAGTCAAGGACGGCCCAAGGCCTTGGGTTCCTGCACCCGTGTGGGAGACCTGGAGGAGGTTCCTGGCTCCTGGCTCCAGATTGGCACAGCACTTGGGGAGGATCTTCTTCTCTGTCTCTCCTCTTCTCTGTATATCTGACTTTTGCAATAAAAATAAGTCTTCAAAAAAAGTATTCTTATTTGAGAGACAGAAAAAGAGTAAGAGCTCCCAAGTGCTGTTTTGCTTTCCAAATGATGGCAATAGCTGGAGTTGGACCAGGCTGAAACTAGGAGACAAACTCAGTGCAGGTCTGTCACATGGGAGGCAGGAACTTCACCTGCACCAGCACCTGCTGCCTCCTCAGGTGCACCTGAGCAGGATGCTGGACCGGGCAGCAGAGTCAGGACTCAGACCTGGCACTCCAGCATGAGACGCAAGCATCTGCCTCCTTCAGATTTGACAGACTGTTTATTGTAACATTGCTTGAACAGTTTTGTAGCTGATTTAATAGCATTTTAATTGATAACATTAGCAATCAATATTTCAAGAGCAGTTTTGCTTTAAGGCCACACTTCAGTGCTGAGCTGTCACAGTAACAGCTGCCAGCAGCGAGTCCCTCCTGTGCAGTGCCAGGCACTTGGGCAGTCTCCCCAGGGCTCCTCTCAGCAACCCGGGTGGCTGCCTGCCCAGACAGCACCTTTGTGAGGGGAGGAGCCCCAATCGTCAATTCCTTGGCCTGAGCCCTACAGCAGGCACTGGAGCAGGGCTCTGGGAACCCCACCTCAGCACCCTCAGAATGCCCCGCTCCTGTGGTGATCAGCCCCCTCATCACAGGCATGAACAATCTCATCCAAAGCCTCTTGGCTTCCCTGGGCTGCGGGCGAGGAGGCCCACCACCTGCTTGCCCTCACACGTACCCATGAGCCTGTGGATGGGGTTGTCGGAACTGCCCAGAGCCTGGATCTGACCCCTGAGCGCCGTCTCCTTGCCCGGGGAGCAGGGGGCAGCCCCGCATAGCGCCAGGCAGCGGCTCACCTCCAGGCTGACCTTCTCTCCGATGGTGGTGAGGACATCCCTCAGGTGGAAGGACCTTGAGCAGAAAAGAGAGAGGAGAAGTCAGGGCAAGAGAAGTCCATGGTTGATGCACTCAGAGAAGCAGCCGGGCGCTCGGGCCCGAGTGAATGCCACCCTGGGCCCGGTCCCCCTCGACCTCCACAGTGATGCCCGAAGCCTCTGTCCTTCCTCCAGCAAGGGCAGAGGGGAGCCAGAGCCCCAACGTATTCAGCATCTCTGAGGGGAAATAACCCCAGAACCAATTCAGTGGATTGTGACACACTCCTGGGAATACAAAAGAGGCCCTGAGACTGGTGTCTGTGAGAGACGGATCTCATCTGGTTCTCTTCTAGTCCTTTTCATTTCTTGAAACATTTCGATATTTTGACAGTTTTTAAAGAAATAAATGAAACTAAACCCCAAAAATTTATAAGCAAAAACTTGGCACCTTGAGCCCCTGGGGCCCAAGTACCTTCGAGTCCCTGGCTGAGGAGGTCACCACCTCTGTCCTGAGTCTAGCTTCTCTGTACAGGACTCATGGTCATGAGTGTGCCAGGGTGCAGGTAGGCATGCAGGGACAGGCCCCTGGTGAAACACTGCACATGGCCCCCATCACCAGTCACTTAGTAGCCTTGACCAGGCGCTTCTAGAAGCAGGGGACACAGGGATCACAGCCTATGAGGAGGGATTAGAACAACCCATCTTCGACCCTGCTGCCCCTTCCCCACAGCTCGCAAAATTCGCGCCTTTCAGGTTATCCACCAATCAGATGTAACCTGGCTCTTCACCGGAGAATCCCACCTCCCAGTCGCTGGCCCCTCCCCGGGTCTCCACCCACCTACCTGTGGCTCAGATCATCTGTCAACAGTCCAGGAGCCAGCACACAGCACACACAGCCCCTCCCTTCTCCTTCCCCCTCTCTCTTCCCTTTTGGCTCTCCCCTACCCTAGTCCATCCTGCCACCATGGCAGGAGATGTTTCCCTTCTTGTCCCACCCACCCCCACCAACCCCAGCTCCCATCCCTACCCTCTCGGAATAAAAGGACTTCCTAGTATCTCATCGTAGGTGGTGTTTCCACTCGCAGAAGACTTGGCTGCGGGAATTAGCTGCAGTAACAATGTAAGAACTTTAGGAACTTTAAGTACATTTTAAAACCTAGCACAGCCCAGGGCTGCACCTGTGCAAGGGCTTCAGGCTATGTGTCAGCAGAGCATATAGCCTCTGGCCCCGCATAAACCCGCACAAGGGGCTCCACCAAGCCAGGGGCAAGGGGCTCCACCAAGCCAGCACAGTTAGACTGCAAGCTTTCTTCTCGGCTCCTGCAGACAACCGGCCAGGGCTTGCTGCCTGCCACCCGGCCGCCTCCCATCTGACCATCAAGAGCCCACTCCACCGCTCTCAGTCACTTACGGCAAATGCATATCTGTGAGCAAGATCTTCACGATCATCTTGAGTTTCTTTGCAAAATCGGCATGGCTGGACAGCCCTGGGGTCGCCATGCTGAACGTGACCAGCATCACGGCTCCCAGCACGGTCAGGTGCTCAAGCTGAAGCTGCAGCTCTTGAAAGCGGGACTGGTCCATCAACACTGTCTACAACAAACACAGAGCTTCGGCTGAGCGAGGGCGAGGCTAGCCAGCAGAGGGCGCTGAGCCGCAGCCCCACGAGGGCCACAGCAGCTTCCCTTTCCCAGAGTCCTTTCTTAGCTCCCGGGGAGACTCAAGGGCATCACCTGGCTGGTCCTTCTTCCTCAGAGTAAAGGATTCATGCGCACTGAGCGCATGCGGCAGCCCTGGGAAGAGACCCCAGCTCTGAGCGCCTGCAGCAGGCCCTGCCCCCCGCTCCTCAGCTTCCCAAAACCAGTGCCCAAAAGGGACCCCTACTCTGCAGAGCTGTGAAGGTGTGCAGTGGCCAGTAGAGCTGGTCTTCAGTGATTGAGGCTTGCAGCATGAGGGGGAAAGAGGAATAAGGCGTAGGGCCAACTCACCCCGGATTGTCTGCCTCAAGAGCTGGGACAAAGCCCCCTGGGGTCCCCAGCAAAGTGGATGGCAGGTACACCGTTCTGGTGTGGGGTCAGGGGCCAGCGCCAGCTAACGAAGAGTCTCAGGACATTCTAAGGAAAAGGGAAGATAGATGATTGATAAGTGGCAACCCAAAGCCACCTGGGGCTTCCAGGGCCCAAAGCCCCCACGTGCAAGAGAGAGGTGTCAGAGTGAAGCAGGTCTCTTGATCTGAATTGTCATCAATTCGCCAAGTCTCCTTCAGGGTCAGTCCTGCACTGAGAGACCACGGCGCACCACATCAGGACAGCGACAACTGGGCTCCCCACCTAGGCCTGTTCTCAAGCAGCCCAGAGCACCCTGCTGGTGGACGGATGGGCCTCCCGACTCCCACCGCTGCTCTTCCACTTCCTGTAGCTCCCACTGCAACTGAGCAGAAGCTCCCCAGGATCAATTCCAAGGGCAGACCGCAGGGCCCCAGGGAGGGCCTCCATCTTTGCCCCAGTTTTAAGGGAAGCATCATTTGGAAAGGCATCCTGCCAGTGTGCAGGTCACACACCTGCACATCCTCATCCCACACTACGCAGGAACCCGGGCGCAAGCGACGGAACCTAAGCTAACAGCATATTGAAAGGAAAAATAAGGAACTTATGAAAAAGATATTTAGAGAAGTTGCAGGATCTGTGGCTAGAGATAAGCAGCTCAAGTGCCCGCAGAAAGTTGGGAGGGGAGGGGTAGTCTGCACACCCCCAACAGCTATTTATAGCCAAAACGGGGAGCCCCTTGGCAGGCCAGCTCTGAAAGGAGTCTGCAGTGACAAGTTCTCACTGGGAAAATATCAAAATACCAAAGTATTGCCCAGAAAGGAAGTTGCTCTAGATAAAGTTATAAAGTAACACCACTGTTGAGCTTCTGACCAAGTTAGGATACAAAGTCAGTGGCACAACCTGGAAGCATCACTGCGTGTGGGACTGCAAAACGCAACTGCTTCAGAAAACATCGGCCCTTCCTCAAGAGGTTAAACTTAAGAGTTATCACCTGGGCAGAGCGCAGTGGCCTAGCGGCTAAAGTCCTCACCTTGCACACACCGGGATTCCACATGGGTGTCCAGGCGGCCCCGCTTCCCATCCAGCTCCCTGCTTGGGGCCTGGGAAAGCAGTCGAGGATGGCCCAAAGCCTTGGGAGACCTGGAAGAGGTTCCTATCTCCTGGCTTCAGATTGGCTCAGCTCTGGGGACAGAAGATCTTCCTTCTCTGTCTCTCCTCCTCTTCGTATATCTGACTTGCCAATAAAAAATAAATACACCTTTAAAATCACCACCTAAGCCTGTAGTTCTTATCCTGTGTCCACATAAAAACTAGCACAGGTTTGTCCAGAGGCGTAAGTCACAGCAGCCAAGGGCAGAAGGCGGAAGCAATCCACATGTTCACCAAGTGACGAATAAACAAACAAACCATGGCCTGTCCACCCAGTGGGATGCAATACTCAGCCATAAAAACTAAGAAAACCCTGACACCTCATACACCATGGATGAAGCTAGATGATACAATGCTAACTGCAGGAAGCCAGACAGACACCAAAGGACAGCACACAATTCCCCTCAATGAGGGAACTTGCAGAAGTCAGGTTTGCAGAGCCAGAAAGGAGAATGGGGGTGCTAGGGGTGCAGGTGGAGGGAATCAGAGGCCATTGTCTGACGGGTCAAGAGTTTCCATTTGGGAAGACAGCAATGTTCTGCAGATGGAGAGGGCGATGACTTCGCAGCACCATGAAGCTGCCTCCCACCACTGCATGGCACATGTAACACGATCGAGATGCTAAGGGCTATTTTCTGTGTATTTTGCAACTACCAGATATAGAATACAAAAGAAATAAAATACAGGTACCTATGATCACATGGATAAATACTATGCCTGGTGAATAAGCCAGACACCAAGGGCCCATGTCATCAGATGGCATTTCTATAAAATGTTCGCAAGTGGCCAATCCACAGAGACAGACAGCAGCCCAGTGGCTGCCAGGACTGGGGAGAGGAGAGAGGGGGGCAGTGATAGCTAACGGTATAATGGGTATAGGGGTTCTTTCTGGGGTGATGAAATGGTGAGGACGGCTGCATCAGACAGAAATACTAAAAACTACAAAGCTGCCCGCTTTAAAAAAGAACTCTGTGAGGTGAGTGTTATCAGGACAAAGGTTACTCCTGTCAAGCCGGGGTGGGCACCTACTTCAGGGAATGGTCTCCGGAGGTGGTCCCACTTCAGAAGCCTCAGGTAGGCGTGGTTCTGGACGGCAGCAGGGCTCAGTGCGGGGGGTTCCCTGGAGCCAGCCACTCCTTCCGGGGCTGGCAGGGCAGGCTGGCACTTCTGAGTCACCAGGTCATCTGCGGCTTCTTCCAGCCACTGGGTGACAAAGTCCAGGGAATCTGAGGAAAACAAAGCCGTGACCCTGGGGCAAGATCAGGACAGGGCATGAACTTCCAATCAAAAAGTACTTAGTTCAAATCCCAGCACTGCCAGTTGCTAGCTGAGTCATCTCCTGCAAGCCCTTGCCTGTCTGCCTAGCAGATTCCGGAGGGAAAGGCATTTACGGCACCCACCTCCCAGGCCACTGTGAGGATTACACATCAGGAACATGGGGACACGGCACCTCACCAGGCCTGACCACCTTCACTCCCGTCTCCTCTCCCACTCTGACCACTGCAGTAGACTCCAAGACCCCAGCCCAGTGCAATGGCTGAAGGGCCTGTCCTGAGACAGGCAGGAGGAGACAGCGCCTGCAATCTCTGTGTGGCAAGTCTCATCTGTGCTCAGCACGAGGTCCCTGCCCAGACCTCTGTGGTCAGTCTCACACGCTCTGGCCTCGTGGGACCTGGCATGCCACTCAGTGTTTACAAGTGGCTTTCACCAACCCTCACACTCCTTCTCCTTCTCTGAGCAGTACAGCAGGCATACAAGATCTTGTCCAAGTTAACCAAGCAAACTGCTCTGATGGGTCCTGGCAGGTGCCCTGGCTCTGTCAGGGAAGGCCTCCTTAAAAACAAGTGGGCAGGGCCCGGCATGATAACCTAGTGGCTAAATCCTTGCTTTTGTAGTCACGGTTAAGGCCACAGACAGCTCTTCCTTGAAGCGAGAGCATGCATGCAGCTTGGTCTACGCAGGACTGCTGGCTTCCCTCCAGCTCCAGGCTTCTGCAGACAGCACTGGCTACAGCCCAGCAGCTGTGATGTTGCAGAGACGCACTGGACTCTGCCTGCCCAGGGAGTCCAGCTGGGCTGCCGCTTGGGCAGTGAGCCCTTCAGTGGTCCCCGGCTTTCCACCCTAACATGAAGGCTCTTCCCGTGCCCCCTGAGAGCCTCAACCTCTACAATTCTGGTTCAGGGTGTGCTCAATCAATTCTGGTCAAAGATCTCTCAAAACCTGTTTCTTGCAGCCGCTGAACAGCGTTTAAAGCACGCAGACACATACACACAGCACTTTGCTCACAGGCTCACCATGCCAGGCTCATCAATGACAAGCCACACATGGCCCCTAGTGCATGCCTGGAATTGAAATGCCTGCCAGTCTTCTTGTGCTGGCACTGCTTCACTTCAGCTCATTGTAGGCTCCTCCTAGGCCTACTGCAGACTGCTCTGTCTGGGGCTCAGTGGGTCAACTCCCGTGGACACAGAAGTCATAAATCTACCTGGGCATAGGAGCCTGAAATTTACCCAGAACATCAGCTGCCAATGCAGGGACTGAAAACAGCACCCGAGAAACGTAGCAGAGCTTCAGATCCCAGTCATCATCTGTTCTCCTGCAACCCTCTGAGAAGTTCATAAAATGAGATTTGTCCTGGGAGTGAAAGAAGGACCACGTATATCCAGTAGCAGCAAAGTGAAATTTCCTACTCTGTCCCACAGGCAGAAGAAGAGTAATTAACATGCGGTGTGTCACACTTCTAAGACTGTGGTGCAATAGGTTAAATTGTCACTTCTATCACCAGCATCCGATACCAGAGTGCTGGTTCGAGTCCTGAGACTGCTCCAATTCCAATCCAGCTTCCTGCTACTGGGCCTGGGAATGGAGGAAAAGAATGACCCAACACCTTGGGCCATCGCACCCACACGAGAGACCAGGTTGGAGTTCCTGGCTTTCAGCTTCAACCTGCCCCAGACCTGGCTATCATGCTTATGAGGGATAAAACCAGTGGATGGAAAATATCTGTCTCTGACATCTGCCTTTCAAACAAATAAACAAATCTTTTACAAAACAAAAAGTACGAGGATAAAGTTTACGGCAAATCAGTGTTTGCCCCATTTGCAAACCATCTCACTTAGCACGTCCGTCTTCTGTAATTTCTAGTGTCATGATCTTGCCTCTTAGTCTTTTAAAGGCTTCACAGCTCTGGATGTAGCCCTAACAGGCTGTACTTTTCCTTTTCCAAATCAGACAATTCTCATGCTGAATTTTAGTATTCTTTTAAAAATGCTACCATCAACAAACGACAGAAACTTAACTGGGAAAAAAAAAAAAAAAAAACCCCACAAAGGGAGAGCATCGCAGAGCACTGAACGCACTTGGCTGCCTCTCCAGAAGCTCCTGAAACTTCTTCCTCTCATACTCCACCGACTGCCGCATGAGATGCGGCCGGATACTGCTGACTGCAAAGTTGGCCATGTCCACTTTCATCAGGTCCAACACAGAAAAGATTGCCCTGAAAGAAAGAATTTGGAATTTTAAAAATTATTTTTATTTATAAGGCAGAATTACAGAGAAGGAGAAACAGAGAGAATGGTCTTCCATCTGCTGGTTCACTTCCCAGATGGCTGTACCGGCCGGAGCTGGGCCATTCCGAAGCCTGGACACAAGCACCAGGGACTTCTTCCAGGTCTCCCGCACGGATGCAGGGTCCCAAGGCTTTGGGCCGTCCTCCACTGCCTTCCCAGGCCACAGGCAGGGAGCTGGTTGGGAAGTGGATCATCTAGGACACAACGCAGTGCCATATGGGATTTTGGTGCTTGAAGTGGGAGGAATGCCATATTGAGCCACAACTGTCCCCAAGAAAGAATTTAGAATTAGGTACTTTCCAGCAATGTGGTTTAAAAACAAAAACACACACACAGGTGAGCTGCTTTGAGACTATCTTTTCAGCTTGGAAGGGACCACCAGAAGTTTGAAAACTTGAAAGATTCAGAAACTTGAACTTAGAAAACACCAACTGAGAACCCTGAAGCTATCTTCTATCCCCACACCCCGCTTGCCTCTGAAGCAACATAGCTACATCTGTAGTGGTGCAGAAGGTGGGTGATACAGAGTTCAAATAAATTAGAATAAAAGTTAAATATACATACATCCAAATGAGTACAAGCCAAAGAGGAAATCCAGTATCAGCAGCTTGTATCAGCGTCGGCATGCTGTGATGTTACAGCAGTCTCCCCCAGCTCATGGGGAATGTTCCAAGACCATCAGAGAGATGTCTGACCCTAGGGATAGTCCCATGTCCTAATTACTCACATTAACATATACTCCATATTAACTTCTTTCAGGCTTCTAAATATTTTTAAATGTTGGGCCTGGTGTGGTGGCCGAGCAGCTAAAGCCCTCGCCTTGAACACGCCAGAATCCCATATGGGTGCCAGTTCTAATCCTGACAGCTCCACTTCCCATCCAGCTCCCTGCTTGTGGCTTGGGAAAGCAGTCCAGAACGGCCCAATGCTTTGGGACCCTGCACCCATGTGGGAGACCTGGAAGAAGTTCCTGGATCCTGGTTCCGGATCGGCACAGCACCGGCTGGTGCGCTCACCTGGGGAGTGAATCATCGGACAAAAGATCTTCCTCTCTGTCTCTTCTCCTCTTTGTATATCTGACTTTGTAATAAAAATAAATAAATCTTTAAAAAAAGTATATAGTTATCATGTTTCCATAATTTTTATACGGATGGCATAAGAGAAGATTATGCCTGAGGATTTGACTTCTGGTTAATATCCTAGCTCTGCTTTCCTGTGATATAAGCTTTTGTGATCCCAGGGTGGTGTGGCCTAGTGGCTAAAGTCCTTGCCTTGCACGTGCCAGGATCCCATATGGGCGCCAGCTAATGTCCCAGCCGTACCACTTCCCATCCAGCTCCCTGCTGGTGGCCTAGGAAAGCAGTTGAGGATGGCCCAAAGCCTTGGGACCCTGCACTTGTATGAGAGACCCAGGAGAAGCTCCTGGCTCCTAGCTCCGGATGAGCACAGCTTTGGTCATTGAGGTCATTTGGGGGAGTGAATCAGCAGACGGAAGATCCTTCTCTCTCCTCTCTGTATATCTGATTTTCTAATTAAAAAAAAAATCTTTAAAAAAATGTGCATACATCAGAATGGTCCTGAGCAACATCCTTTATGGGGAAAGAGACCTCTGACCCACAAACTGCACCTGGAATGAAAGAAGTGATCATGAACTGCAAGCACTGGCTGGGATGCCTTCCCTGAGTGTGGTGACTTGTGTGTTTATGTCCCTTCTGGGAACCCTGGGAGCCAGGTTACAGAATTGTGATAAAGTAGCTCCACTCCTTCAGGACATGAGATGCTGGACCAGGTAAGCCTGTATGTACCCTCTCGGTTGGACTCCCCTGGTCCTGGGTGCTCTGGACCGCTCTGCTGGCCAATGTGGAGGAGCGATGCAGCCAAACGTGTGGCCCCGGCAGTCCTAGGAGTCCGAACGTTGGGCTGAACCTCAGAACCACCCCGGGGGGCCCTGCAGACCCGACTCTTCTCGTGAGCACTAAGGGTCTCTACTCTTTTCATTTACTTTTGTATTGAAAACTTTATTGAAATAACTGTACAAATATATTTACATGCAGATGTAAGAACGGATACTGTACACTTCATTCAGTTTCTCCTAATGTTCTGCGAATATATTTCATGGTGTATAGTAATTTATTCCCACAGACTCAGGAATTCAGTTCTTCAGGTGCCATGCTACGAGTACCAAGAAGGTGGAAACGAATCCAACGAACATGTTTACCTTGGGAAGTGATCAAACTGGATTCAGTTGTTAAGGTGGAGCCTTGTGATTAAAGCCTGTGGCTTACCATGAAACCGCACGCAGGCAGACAGACATGCTGCCTGGATCCTGCCTGCCAAGCCTGTCATCTCACGACTGCCCACAGAAGACCATCGCCAGGTGAGGCCTCTGGACCGGGAGCCAACATGATCCTCTCTGCTCTATAAAGTTAGGATGCCATGGGTATTTTCTATGATTAAAAGTTGACTCAAACACTTTCCCCCCTTATGCAATTTTGCATCCTAAGACTTCAGTTACCATGGGTCTCAGCACAGAAAATTCCAGAGACAGGAAGACAGTAAGAGATTACACTCACATCATATTCATTACAGCATACTGTTACGCTTCATTAGTTACCGTTGACTTCTTTCTGAGATTTATTATTAACTATGTATGTAGAAAATAACACAGTATACAAGTATACATATATTCAAAGATAAAGCAAATACGACAAAATGTGGAAAATTGGTGAATTTACATCAAGAATATATAAGATAGCCTAGCAGTTAAAGTCCTCTCCTTGAACATGCTGGGATCCCATCTGAGCACCAGTTCTAATCTTGGTGGCCCCACTTCCCATCCAGCTCCCTGCTGGTGGCCTGGGAAAGCAGTCAAGGACAGCCCAAAGCCTTGGCACCCTGCACCAGTATGGGAGACCCAGCAGAAGCTCCAGGCTCCTGGCTTCAGATCAGCACAGCTTTGGTCATTGAGGTCACTTGGGGAGTAAACCATTGAACAGAAGAGTTTTCTCTGTGTCTCTCCTCCTCTCTAAATATCTGCCTTTCCAATAAAACAAATCTTAAAAACATACATAAATATTGATTGTACTGTTTTTGCAATTTTTCTGTAAGCTTAGAATCTTTTCAAATAGAGTGCTAACATACTCTGATGTATTAAAAATTAAATCTTGAAATGGAATCAAGTATTTGGGTCTCTGCCACTCATGCGGGAGAACGGAATTGCGTCCTGAGCTCCTGGCTTTGGAATGCCCAACCTCAATTGTTGTGGGTGTTTAGAGCAAACCAGTATATAGAAGAGCGATTTGTGTGTGCACGTGTGTGTATGTGTGTGTGTGTGTGTGTGTGTGTGTGTGTGTGCCTTTTAAACAAATGAATTTAAAATACACATAAAAATGGAATTTTAGTGCATTAAAAAATTTCTAATTTTCTGTATTTTAGAAAATGTTTCAAAATTGTTTTCAAATACATAAATGCTTAGATCTCAGGAAATGTGATTCTGAAAATAGACTTCATTGTAAGTATACTGGTGGTAATTAGCCATTTTCCTACCTGAAAAGGGGCACTATTTCCTTAATGTCCTTTAGTTTCTTAACTTCTTCATCTCGAGCAGGTGCACACAGTGTCCCCATCATTCCAATAATGAACTCTGCCAGCTTGGAAATGTCTAGCGCCCCATTCTCTGCTTCCTGTTTTATCAGGTCCAGATCCAAGACTTCCGTTATCTGGTTTCTCAGTCTGGTGTGACCAGGCAGCAAGAAAGATAAAAGAGTCTACAAGAGAGCACAGCTGTGTTTCACTCCGTTTTGTTGGACATGTTTTGTTACACATTAAAGAATTTAGAACTATCCAATGAAGGCTTACCAATTGCAACGCTACACACATTTGAAGCTCATATTCACAAATGTACAGAAAAACACACTTATTACTTAGAAAGGATACTTAAGTTTCCATTTACACTCTAGATAGACATCGCCTGATGAAAGAAAATTGTTCACGGTGAAGAGAAAACACGCTGGTTAAAGTGAGCCTGGAAGCCAAGGACAGTTTCCACAGATACAGTTCTTTGATCTGCTAAACAAAGGTATTAGAAAACCAGTCCTTGGGCCCAGCGCGGTGGTGCAAGCGGCTAAAGGTCCTCGCCTTGCACGCCCGGGATCCCATATGGGCGCCGGTTCTAATCCCGGCAGCCCCGCTTCCCTTCCAGCTCCCTGCCTGTGGCCCGGGAAAGCAGTCGAGGACAGCCCAAAGCTTTGGGAACCTGCACCCGCGTGGGAGACCCGGAAGAGGCTCCTGGCTTCGGATTGGCATAGTATCGGCCCGTTGCGCTCACTTGGGGAGTGAATCATCGGACGGAAGATCTTCCTCTCTGTCTCTCCTCTCTGTATATCCGCCTTTCCAATAAAAAAAAATAATAATAAAAATAAATCTTTTTAAAAAAAAAGAAAACCAGTCCTTCCACCTCTTGTCTTCTCTATTCCAAAGACCAGCTCACTGGTTTGCCATTATAAACAGAATGCATCCTCAGGTATTAAGAATGCAGAGGGCCCAACACTGAGGCACAGTGAGTACAGCTGCCATTTCGGACATCTGTAGCCCAAGCGGGACTGCCAGCGACACTCTTGTCCACTGTGAGCCAGTTCCCTGCCGCTGCGCCCAGGAGGCGGCCAGTGATGACCATGTTCCCACATGGGAGATTCTGACCTTGGCGTGGCTCAGCCCCAGCCGCTGTGGGCATCTGGGGAGTGACCCAGCAGATGGGAGAACTTGCTGTCACTCTTTCAAACAATCTTAAAAAGTCTTCTAAACAATCCAATACCTTATAAAATAACGTTATGTTGTCTTTAAATAATTGTTTAAAACAACTTTGAACACTTGAAAAACTGGCAAAAGCCAGGAACAGGGGAACCCATGTCTCGGGAACCTTCTCGCACAGCCTCGTCCATCTGCAGGCACTATTATCGGAGACCTGCTGGCTGGCTCAAAGGCCCAGCACTTCAGAGCCCAGTAACGACTGCAGGGAGACTACGCTGTGTTTCTGCTCAATTCCAGGTTGCAGCTGGAGCTATGAGGAAAGAACAAGGTCTAGATAAATGGAATCCAAGTGTTGACGGGTGTCATAAGGGCATTTTCAAGTCCTGGACAACTGAACTATTCATGTTAGCCTACTATCATTTCAATCTTCCAAACAAAACAGCTTTTATTTTGGGAAAATAATTACAAATTTTTTCTCAGGTTATGATGGCTTGCTTGACATTTTTCAAATAGGACTTCAGGCCCAAAGCACTCCTAGTCCACAGTTGAGCAAGGCACTTGCCTTCCTGATCCCTCAGTCTCTCTCAACTCTCCGGCACAGTCACACCCAGCAGAGCAGCAAAGGCTCCTGACAAGTCTGGCAAGTTGCTCCTCCCCTCACCTCTTTGATCTCTCCGACAAGCTTGATGGCGTGGTCATATGTCGGGGGGTCTTCACCTAGCTGGGCACTCAAGCAATCCCAAAAAGCTTTATGTACAATCTCCTTGACTCTCTTCTCCAAGCTGAAGGCAAGACAAAAAGGGAAAATATATATTTTATATGTGTATATATATGTATAGTAGACACACATACACATACATATATATGAGAGCATCAAAAATCTTTGAAAATCACAAATTCTATCAATTAGGTTAAAAAAAATCTCAAAAAAATAATTTGGATAAAGAAAAGCTTCCCAGGCTTGTTTAAAACCAATGACATAGTTTATTTTAGTTCATTTCTCTCCACTCTCCCTAAATTAATCTCTCACTGGGAAGAATAACTTCCAACTTAATGGCTGGCCATTATCAGTCCACTTCATAGTTTGTCATGATATCACATGATAAAAATAACACTGGAAAGATCAGAGGTGTTAAGTCTTAGTTCCCTGATACTAGTAAATTTCTTACGATATTTATAATTGAGACGCACAACATAACTGGGCCGGTGCTGTGGCACGGCACGTGAAGCTATGGTCTATGAATATGGATTGCATATCAGAGCATTGGTTCAAGTCCTAGTTGCTCCTTGTTGATGCAGCTGGGGAGAGCGGCAGCCAAACACCTTTCACCTGCATGGGGTACCAGACGGGGCTCTGAGTTTCCAGCTCCTGGCTTCAGCCCTGCTCCTGACTACCACAACCGTCTGGGGAGTGAACCGAAGGATGGAAGATTTCTTTCTGTCTCTGCCACCTTGTCTTTCATTAAAATAAATCGGTAAAGATGACTCTAGTTCCTGAGAAGATCCCATGAGATAATAATATGGGACAATTATTTAAATATACAAAGCTCAAATTAAATATAGGTGTAACATCCCATTAAAAGCAATCTTACGTCTTGAGAGCAAAACAAATATTTCTTCATTATTGTCAGAAAGTAATATAACAATGGTCAGTGAAGTTCCATTTAGAAGGCTCCCATACAGACGGCACAGCCTGCCAAGCCATCAGGCATGTATCCTTTGGTGATAGAAACAAGTGGTTTTCAGGGCAGCAACAGACTCTGTGAAACTAAATTATGACTGATCTAATAAGCCCATTGTGACAGTTCCACTCTCCATTGCCAGAGTCAAGCTTCTCCAGGCTCACTTAGTAGCTGGGATTGTACATGACCAAATGCTGCCTGACAAGACATTAGGGCACGTCTGCTTCACGACTCCCAGAAATGGTATTCTTCCCTACCAAAAGACAGCCCTGATCTGCCTGACCATGTCCACCTTGAGGGGCATGCTGGGCAAGGGAGGGGTCTGACATCTATCTGGCATGAGGAACAGGCCAAGAGAATCAAGAGGCCTTCTAGTCCAGAGTTTCATTGCTGTTCTGTGTGTGTAACTTATTTGAAAGCCATGGTAACAGGCAGAGAGCGAGCAAGCTATCTTCAATCCACTGAGTCATCCCTCCAAATGGCTACAAATACCAGGGCTGTTCCAGGCTGAGGCCAGGAGTCAAGAACCCCTTCTGGGTCTCCCACATGGGTGACAAGGTCCCACTACTTGGGCCATCTTCTGTTGCTTTCCCAAGCACAGTAGCAGCAGCTGGATCACAGGCGGAACAGCTGGGACTCAAACTGGTACTCATGTGACAGAATTTCACCAACTTCCAGATCTCCACCTGCATCAGAAGGATAAATGGCCCACCTTCAAACATGAGTGATTCCTGGTATAGCAAAATGTTTTAGCAATCACATTCACAAAGAAAAACTTACGTGAACACATGGGTATGGACCGAAGGAAACATTTGCAGAACCGCATGATCTCTGCACATGGCAACTCAGCAGCCGCTTACCTGTCTTCTGGCAGTTCTACCGGTTGAATGCGAAAGTTGCCATTCACGACAATTTCATGGGCCAGAGCCATGTTAGTGACTTCCTTTGCTGTCTCCAGAAGTTCTTCCGCAGTCACAAATCGAGCAGGACTGGCTGTAACAAAAACCCAGTGAGAGATTTGCTTCTATAGATCAAGGGAGATGGCAGCAGTTCTGGTACCAGAAAGTAATCTCAGGTACGCCTTCAGCTAAAATCTTTCAGCATTTTCAAACAGTAACAATCTTTGCAAATTTCATTTTCATTTTAAAGTTAGAAGTCTAAAAGCAGAGATCATCTGGGACTGGCCAGTGGCTTGGTAGCCTGCTGGCAACACTGCCATCCCCTTAGGGGTGCCAGCTCATTTCCCAGCTGCTTCACTTCAGATCCAGCTCCCTGCTTATGACCTGGGAAAGCAGTCTCCTGTCTGCCTTGAAAGAAAAATAAACACAGAAACATCCAGTTTAAGATCTCTGTTGTGGGGCTGTCACCATGACTCTACTGGCTAATTCTCCAATGCCAAGGACCAGCATCCTATATGGGCATTGGTTTGTGACTGGCTGCTCCACTTTCCATCCAGCTCCCTGTTTGTGGCCTGGGAAAGCAGTGGACAGCCCAAAGCCTTGCAACCCTGCATCCATGTGGGGAGACCTGGCTCCTGACTTTAGATTGGCTCAGCTCTGGTCATTGTGGTCATTTGGGGAGTGAACTAGTAGATGGAAGATCTTTCCCTTTGCCTCTCCTTCTCTCTGTAAATCTGCCTTTCCGATTAAAATAAACCTTAAAAAAACAAAATCTCCATTGCATCCACCAGGAATTTCCCCTTATACTGCCACTACTACTACCACTGTGTCATGAATGCATCTCCTCAAAGTAAAATAACATCAAGGAGCCAGTGCTGTGGTGTAGCAAGTAAAGCTACTTCCTGCAGTACCAGCATCTTACTCAAGTTCTTGCTGTTGTGCTTCAGATCTAGCTCCCTGCTAATGTGCCTGGGAATGCAGCAGAGGATGGCCCCAAGTACCTGGGCCCTTGTCATTCACGTGGGAAACCCAGGTGGAGCTCTGGGCCTCCGACTGACTTATTCAGCCTCAGACACTGTGGTCATCTGCTGAGTGAGTCAGCAGAATGAATGAATGAATAAACGAATATACAAGCAGGAACTGGTGCCATGGTACTGTAAGCTAAGCTTCTGCTGATGGCAACCCCTATGGACCCCAGTTTGAGTCCTGCCTGCTCCATTTCCGATCCAGCCCCCTGTTAATGGGATTGGCACATAGCCCAAATGCTTGGGTCCTTGTACCAACTTAGGAGACCAGGAAGAAGCTCCTGGCTGTTGGCCTAGCTCTGGCCAATGCAGCCATTTAAGGAGTGAACCAGGGCACAGCTAGGTTCTTAAGATCACGCAGCCTAGTATCCTAATTGCTAAATAATATTGCATTTGTTTTTATATGTTATATGTTATATATGTAAATGTTATATGCATTTGTTTTTTCTTTTCAATAAAGTTCATATTCCACAATAAAAAAAGACCCTGTCTTTCCTTATCTATAACTCTGCCTTTCAAATAATAAATGAATCTTCAAAAAATGAATTTTTAAAAAAGAAACAAAATGTTTAAAGTGATTATCTTGTTAGGATACCAAGACCATGAGAGCTGTGAGGGTGATGGCTGAGTAGCTTAGGGGGCATGTCACAAGACTTTTGTAGACAGCAAGCCTGCTGACTCAACCACTTTGCAAGAGAATCCCAGATTTGTTCCTCTCCCACTGCCTTTCTAAGGAAGTCCTGGAGGCTTCACTTCTGCACAGCATCTGCTGCAATGGCACCACTGGCTGCCTGACTTCTGTTTTAACAAAGCTCAAGATTTAACTTCCAGGAAGAAAGTTCTCATCCAATTCTTAGGTGCTCCAAGGCAAGAAACAAAGACAATTCTTATTCTTTAAAAAAAAGCTGGTGGTAACAGTTCTCAACTTTCAAGTCTGTTCTCAGAATCTGAGTGAGGGATGGTGAGAGCAGATGACGGGCATGGTCCCCAGTCGGCACTGCATACAAAGCTCCAGCTGATGCACCCAGAAATCAGTGTTTGAGAAGTACTGGCCTAGAAGATAAGTATGTTAATCCTATGTGATGGCAATAAGAGCTGAGCTTAAAATGATATAAGTTATATCAAAGGACTACACAGGATTTAATAGTTACAGTATCTCCTTGGGGGTTGGCCTTATAGCATAATATGTAAGCCCACTGCCTGTGATGGCGGCATTCCATTTGGGGACCGATTGGTGTCCTGGCTGCTCCATTTCCAATCCAGCTCTCTGCTATTGGCCTGGGAAAGCAGCAGAGGAGAGCCAAGTGTTTGGCCCAGTCTTGGTTAAATCAGCAATCTGGGGAGTGAACCAGTGGATGGAAGAGCTCTTGGACCTTCTCTGCAACTATGCTTTTCAAATAAAATAAACATTTTAAAAATAAAAAAAAAAATCTTCTTGGATTAGTGACACATTACTTTCCTTTTTCTTGTGCTCAATACACACAGCAAAATAGGAACCAAATCTAAGAGCTGGTCATATCCTGTCTAGTGAAAATCTTTATTTGGTACCGTAAGGGGAAGTTAGGAAAACTCTCAAAATTCCTCTTCAAAAAATTCTCAATATTTCTAGAGAATAACAATAAAATACATAATGAACTCACAATGATATTGGCTTCATGGGTATTGGTAAAATAAACATTCAAAATGAAAGACCTTCTCAAGTCTTATTATTAAGACGCTAAAATTTCACAACTCAATCTCCAGACGAAGCACAATCTCAATTAAAATCTCAGCAGTTGAGGTGGGCATTGTGGTACAGTGGGTGAGGCCACTCGTACAGAGAACCTGCGTTGCAGTAAGAGCTCTGAACAACAGCATGGTTACATATATCTTAACAAGTGAGTTTGCTTCATGATTCAATATGGATCTAAAGCCCTTGTAATGCTGTTACATTGTGCATGCCTTGTTGGAGAAACTGGAAACCAGGAATGTTAAACACAGCCTTGAGGAGGTGGGCAGTCAGATCCCATGATGAAACAAATGATGCTATCTACCTTTCCTTTCTAACGTGTCCTAGGCCTGTGTGTGTTTACACACACACATAAGACACTGGGTTAGGGGCCTGGCGCGATGGCCTAGTGGTTAAAGTTCTCACCTTGAACACGCCAGCATTCCATATGGGTACCAGTTCTAATCCCGGCAGCCCTACTTCCCATCCAGCTCCCTGCTTGTGGCCTGGGAAAGCAACAGTCAAGAACGGCCCAAAGCCTTGGGACCCTGCACCAGCGTGGGAGACCCGGAAGAGCTCCTGGCTCCCGGCTTCAGATCAGCGCAGCACCAGCCGTTGCAGTCACTTGGGGAATGAATCATTGAGACGGAAGATCTTCCTCTCTGTCTCTCCTCCTCTCTGTGTATCTGACTTTGTAATAAAAATAAATAAATCTTAAAAAAAAAAAGACAAAAAAACACTTGTTGGGGCTGTAGCACAGTGAGCCAGGTCTCAGCCTGCCGCATCAGCATCCCATGTGGGCACTGGTTCATGTCCCAGTTGCTCCACTTCCAATCCAGCTCCCTGCTATTGTGCCTGCAAGGGCAGTAGACAATAACCTAAGTGCTTGAACTGCTTGGACCCTGCACCCACATGGGAGACCAAGAGGAAGCCCCCGGCTCTAGGCTACTAGCCTCGGACTGGCCCAGCTCTGGCCACTGCAGCTACCTGGGGAGTGAACCAGCAGGTGAAGCTCTCTCTGCCTCTCTTCTCTCTGTAACTCTGCCTTTCAAATGACAATAAGATGGATCTTTATATTATGTATTCACACGTATACATATACACATATATATTACTACTACAATTTGTAAGAAATAAATACTATCTCTTTTTGCCATTTATATTTTCAGCTTGTAGACTTCCACCTATGATTTTAAAAATACTTTCACCACTATCCAGATCCACCATTCATGTTTTATAAGTTTTCCATTATGACCTTTGTGGGCATTGATGCTTCCTTACAAATGACAAGTCTGAGGTCACAACCCAGTACCCACTTCTTTACTCAAAAGAGGAAAAGCAAATGAGCCAAAAGGAACATCTGAAGACATTATTTTAAACATGATTTTGATGTGGGACTGCATTGCTTAGACCATGCACCTGAGGCTGGAAATCTGACAAAGCAGAGGCCAGGGCCAGAAGCCAATGTGCCCTAATGAGGGCTTCAGCGAAGATGGTGTCACGCTGGTCAGAGGTAAGGGAGGTCACACGATGAGACAGGAAGGCAGAGATTCGGGGGCCAGGCCTGCTCTTTCATAATCCATACCTGCAGGACCTACTGAGGTTCCACATAAGCATTGGTGCCTTCTGAATGCACTCTCCCCAGTGACCGAGGCACCTTCCACTGAGCTCCACTTCTTGTGGGTTCCACCACCTCCACACCACCACACTGGTCAAGCCACATCTAGACCATAGCAGATCCTTATGCAAAAGTGAAGAAAGCATCTATAACTACCTTCCCAGAAAAGGTGCATTACACACAAATGTGGATGTACTTTTCTGCAACTCCAGGATCTGTTAAAACTTCGTCATTTTTCCCTCAAGGCATAACTACACATAGTTTCAGAAAACATAGCCTAGGACAAGTTGGACACTAAGTTGGAGTCATGCTTTCAATGAACTCAAGACCTAAACCAAAGGATCGCTTTCATCAGGAATGGAAAGTAAGAAAACTATCGGGCCAGCCATTCACATCACAGCAAATGACCCTGACATCTGAAAATGCAACAGATGACAACAGTAGGAGTAATAACAATTAATGTTCACTTACTAGGCACTGTCCTAAGGGTGAAACATGAATTCATTTAACTCTTAAAACAAGAAAGCAGACTATGTGTGAAAAGGGCTGAAGGAAGAGATAAGAAGTTCATGTGGAAAGAAAAGTAGCAATCTCATACTTAGGAGACAGCCCAGTATTTACACACCAGACATCATACCCATGTCCAAAAATCTTGTAGAGGGGTTCAGGCCCTCTGCTCCAGAGACACCCCAGACCCAGCAGCAAGGGGATCGTTTGCTCTGACAGCACTGTGAAACAAAAGGAATTTCCTGTCCCCAAAGCCCTTGCCCCAGCAATATCCCAGAAGCAGAGAAGGGGGAAGAGAAAGGCCTCCCTACCGACACGCGGCTCAACACAGTCTGGGCACTCAGCTCCAAGCTGCCCAGTGAACCTGCCTGGTGTGGTCTTCAGTGCATTTGCAAGCTTGCCTACCACAAATATGTGGCTCATGTCTGAAATTCTTTCTTTTTATGAGGGAGATAAGAACCTCTGTCCCAGCCATCTCTGGTAACACAACCACCTTAAGAAACAAATGCATTTTCCTTGCTTTAAAGATGAGAAAACATATGATTTCCAACTCTGTATATTGGAGAAAAGGCCTAACAAATGCATGATGTGCTACTAGCACATTTCCCAAGATACAATTTGATCTATTAGTTTCTCAAAATCTATGGGACAATTTAGACGCGATCTAGTGGAGTCCGCTCATGTTTGTTGTACAAATAAGCTGACTAACACATTAACTGGAAAGGGCTTTCATCATTTTGGTAGGATCACGCCTCAAACCCCCAAATCTTGGCCCTTTTTCCGAATATGTAAGAATGATTGATTATCCACATTTTGAAAAGATAGCATCGACACTGACATTCTTAGACTATGGCACTCCTTCTTAAAAAACTCTTGTTTGGACTCATTTCAAAAAGCATTCTCAATAAAAGACGTGGATGAGCTGGGGCATTGCTGGGAATATGTGCAGAACTGCCACTCTTCTCATCCACTAACTTGTTCCCTGCCAGGGCTCTGAAATGACCTCACCAAACACAGGCAAGGAGCTGAATCCACTCACTCGCATGGGAACTCAGCCCTCAGGCAGTGAAGTTAGGGCGTGGCGAACTCCTTCATTTTGCTTTTAACCTGCACAAGCACAACCCTGGCTGGAATCAGCTTTATACTTCTCAGATACTCTTAGTTAAACCTGCAATTTACATTCCAGCCTCCTGTTTCTTAGGACTTGGGAGAAACAGGAATGCCACAATGGCTGGAGCAAGGAAGGTTCTGGATATTATTCTAAAATTTCAATTTCTAATACAACTGAAAAATCACCAGTAACTATGCTGCCAGTTGAGCAACTGCTGCTGTTCTCTTTCTTTCTCTTCCTTCTTGAGATTTTCCTACTTGAAAGGCAGATCAACAGAGAAGAGCCAAGGAGATGGTTCATCAGTTGGTTCATTCCCCAAATGACCGCGGCAGTTAGGTCTGGGCCAGGCTGAAGCTGGCAGGCAAGAACTTCATCTGCGATTCCTTTCTGGGTGGCAGGTGTGTTAGCTTTTTGCTACAAACCCAAGATACCAGACACAGTAAGCAAGTCACACTGAGCTCTTTATTTCCATGGGGGAATTAGTGTGGATCAGTGAGGGCAGAGAGCAAAGAGACAGAGAGACAAAGAGCAGAGGACGAGGAGAAGAGCAGAGAGCAGGAGGAAAAGAGACAGAGAGAGAACAAAGGGAAGAGGGATCTTTGTAGCCTCGAGCTGGGCACGGAGAGCACAAGCTGAAGCACTGGCAGATGTGGCTGTAACTGGATGCCAGGGAAAAATGCCTCAGAGGATTGGTGGAGCACACGGTTTGAACCTGAAGGTCACTAAACTTGCTTAAGCAAGTGGGCCTTAAGAGGGCTGAGACCTGGCAGATTTAAGGCAGTCCTGGGACTTCAAGGTATCCCTGAGTCCAGGATGGTGGTCAGTCTCAGGGCTGCTGTTCAAAGTCACTCCTTACAAGGTGTCCAGATACTTGGGCCAGCATCTGCAGCTTCCAAGGCTCAGCAGAAGGAAGATGGATGGGAAGTAGAGAAGCCAAGACTTAAACCAGCTCAGTATCAAGCAAGCCAAGGTTTAGCATGCTGCGCCACCGTGCAAGGCTCATTACTGACAATGTCATCACCCAAGTATTGTGAAAACCTAGCTCAGGGCCAGATGCATGAGAAAGGCCGATAAAATACCACCTCAAAGACAGGACAGTGTGGCTTCTAATCAAAGTCAAGTTTGCTTACAGTGAGGTCTTCGCACTTTGTGGCGACTGGGAGACTCCAACTTGACCTGGTTCTGTGGAGCTTCATCAGAACATTCCACAGCCTCTTCAAGGCCTTGCTGAGAATCTTTCGATTTTCCTGCTTCTTTTACACTGGACTTGCCAAGGTTTTCAGACATTCTCAATTAAGTTTGAACCCTAAGAAAGAAAAAAAAAATGAAACCAAGAGTTCTAGCTCTGTTACGAGCAGTACGATTCTGGGAAAATCATTAATCTATTCGGATTTCAGTTTCATTGTCTATAAAATAAATGGGCTTTCTAAGATACTATCCAACTTTTATATTCTACTTCAATGATTAAACAGACACTTGAAACAAAGGACACCGGGCCCGGCGGTGTGGCCTAGCAACTAAAGTCCTCGCCTTGAACGCACCAGGATCTCATATGGGCGCCGGTTCTAATCCCAGCAGCTCCCTGACAGCCCAAAGCCTTGGGACCCTGCACCCATGTGGGATATCCGGAAGAAGTTTCTGAATCCTGGCTTCGGATTGGCATAGCATCGGCCATTGTGCTCACTTGGGGAGTGAATCATCGGATGGAAGATCTTCCTCTCTGTCTCTCCTCCTCTCTGTATATCTGACTTTCCAATAAATAAATAAATCTTAAAAAAAAAAGGACATTTATCAAATTTATGGAGCTCAAATAGAGGGCTAACTTTAGGTATTTCTCACCCATGCCTGAGTATCATATCACAAGAACACGGGACCTCAAGCTGCTTAAAAGAGAACACTACAAACCACTTGTTTTTAATTTAATTGATGGAAGGAATTTAGCCTTTTTTTTCCAAAGATTATTTTCTATTGGAAAGGCAGGTATATAGAGGGAAGGAGAGACATATCTTCCATCTGCTGGTTCACCTCCCAAGCGGCTGCAATGGCTGGAACTGAGCCGATCTGAAGCCAGGTTTTCTTCCAGGTCTCTCACGCGGGTGCAGGGTTCCAAAGCTTTGAGCCAACCTCTACTGCTTTGCCAGACCACAAGCACGGAGCTGGATGGGAAGTGAAGCAGCTGGGATACGAACTGGTGCCCATATGGGATCCTGGCAGATGCAAGGCGAGGATTTAGCCACCAGCCTATCGTGCCAGGCCCAGGGATTCAATCTTAAGCCTCTTTTATTCCTGAGAGCTGATATGCAAACTCATTGCAAAACAATTTTTCCATTTTTTGACAATCTTTACATAGTTAATAAGGGTAAAAAGGTGGGTGAGACTATTATTTCCACATTGCTTCCTTCGTGTATCTGAGGTAAAGGGGGATTTTAAGGAAGAAGCCCCACCCAGTCCCCACCCACCCCAGGAAAAACAATGCTTTTAATTAGGCTTCTAAGTGAATACAGCAGGCAGTGGGGTTCATTTCCTGACCCTATCATGTGGATAAGATACCTGCGGGTCACAATTAGAACTACAGATCCCCAAGAAGCCTTTCGGAGAAATGTTTGGGGCGAATAATTTTATTAACTCTTTGCCGTAAGTAGAAAAAGATGTTAAATGAACAAGTTGCAAGCAACTATATTATTTGTGACTGGGTAGGATTTTCATTGTTTTAGGTACTGATTTGTATAGAACCGACACCTAACACCAGTAAACCTAACACCAGAGCTGGGCCAGGCCAAAGCCACAACCTGAGTACTTAGGCCGGCATGTGTTGCCTCCTGGGTACACCAGCAGGAAGCAGGGTCAGAAGCAGAGGTGCCACTTGATTGCAGGCACTCTGACTTGGGATGGGGCCAGTCACTCAACAGGCTGTGCCCAGACATCTGTCCTAATCAAAAAGCTTTCATCAAGTAACCCCCTTTGCAGAAATTTATATTCCTAGGGTGTTTCTGATCCAGAAAGACACCATGTTTCTACTTTAACAATACTGAAAAGAATTAACATTTGTACCGTCAGCATCTGAAATCATAAAACATTTCCATAAACACCAGTTACACACAAATTGGACAACATTACACACAAAGAAAGCAGTCACAGGTTCAAAACAAACGTGGAGTGCTTCAGGGAGGTTGGCAGACTCCTCTGCACGGGAGAGAACTGTCTAAGTCTGAAATGTTAGCGATCTCCTGAATTATTAACATCAAGGTTGTCTTTAACTTACTTATTGTTTTTATTGGGAAGGCATATTTACAAAGAGGAGAGACAAAGAGAAAGATCTTCCATCTGCAGGTTCACTCCCCAAGCAGCCACACATCGGGAGCTGAGCCCATCCAAAGCCAGGAGTTTCTTGCGGGTCTCAAGGCTTTGGGTCATCCTCGACTGCTTTCCCAGGCCACAAGCAGAGAGCTGGATGAGAAGTGGGGCAGCTGGGACACATACCAGCACCCATATGGGATCCTATGTGTGCCACTGGGCCACTGTGTCAGGGCTGACCCTCCTCCTAGACCCTCTTCACCTTCCGACACCCTTCTCTGCCCTAAACCGTACGGAGGGTTTGGAAACGCACTAAGACCTAACAGATACCATTACCCATCACATCCTATGAGAAAGGACAAACACAGGCACTTCCAATTTTATCCTCCTCATGTGTTGAGAGGGAGTCCAGAAAAGATGAAGTCATTCATTCTGTGCAGTGAGGCGGCAAGGCAAGATTCCCAGAATCCACAAACAAACCCGATTGGTGGAGATTCCAGAGTCCTTTCTCCTGCCGGCAAGCTCGCCCCTTCCACCCACCGTGCTAGCAACAACTCTCCCGGTTACTAGAGACCCGGCATTGTCACTGCTGTGAATCCAACTCAAAACCTGCGCATCAAGAGGAAAGCACGCAGCCGGGAGGGGAAGGCGCCGGTGCAGCTCACAAGGCACCTCGAGGGGGGCATTTTGAAACCGCTATGATGTACAGCAGAGAAACTGATTCAGCCGGGAAGGAGGCTGGGAAAACCTTCCCGGAAAAAGCTGACATTTGGGCTGATCTTTGAATGGTGTAGGATTTCACTCAAAAAGCAAACAAAAAAACCTGTATGGAGCAGGGGAGAGGCATTTCACGAAGACTGGACAGTGAGCGCAGGGTAAGTGAGAGAAGACGAAAACAGAAATGGGTTGGGACCAGACAGCAAATGTGCTTTTTCTTTCCACTCGTCACCTGGGTTTTTAACTTCTTCCAAGCCAGCACCAATCACAGTCCCCACACCTGCTCCAGACATACAAGTGGATTTCCCCCAAGTAGATCCCCACTTAGCTTCGTTGTCGCGATGCATCCATGGGGCACCTGTGAGCTCAGTGCACGAGGGAGGTCCGGACGCTGGTCACGGGCAGCCCTGGCCGTCCAATTCTGGCCCCGAGCTAGCTGTCTCATTTCAGAGCTCTCATCTGTAACATGGAGCCAGCGACTTAGCTCCTCGGCTCGGGGAAACTTGAAGCGAGGGACGGGGGGCCTCACAGATAGCTTTTCTCCAACGCTAACCGTGATTACGGAACGATGAGAACCAATTATTCGCTCGCACCGCGCTCACTCATTCACTCATCACCCCTCGCGGGGAGGCCCGGCACGCCGGCCCGCTCCAAGGGGGACCCGAGAGGACCCCGGCAGCACGGGGATCGTTTCCTCCGGCCCTCAGAGCCACGCAGCCCCGCGTCCAGATGCCGTTGTAAACAAGTGTTTAGGGCAGCGAGGGAGTGGCCCGGCCGGGAGCGAGTGAGGGAAGCGGGGCGCGCCCAGAGGAAGCGGCCTCCGGGGATGGGAGCCCCCCACCGCTCGGCGTCCCTGCCTCTCGCTCGCCTCCACCCGACATCGCCAGGCACAAAGTAAAAACAAAACCGACAGTGGCTGCGCCCCTCGCCCCTCGTGCGGCCCCGCCAGCCTCGGTGCCCGCTCCCCTCACCTGCCGCAGGGAATGAGGTCGGAGGCGAGAGCGATGCGCGGCGGGCAGAGGCGGTTCAGTCCCGGCCCCTCCGAGGGCGCATCTCCCGCCGCGCTGCGGGCGGTCCTCCCTGCCCGGCTCCGGTGGGCAGTAGCCAAAGCGGCCGCTCCGGAGCGTCGGGAAGTCGGGTGGGTAGCGCATCTCTCGGCGGCGCCTGCTCCGTGCGGGGAGATGCCATGCTTTTGTACGGAAAAGCGGGAGTCTCGCAGGCGGGTGATGCCATCTTTCTGTACGGAAGGGCGAGCAGCGCGGCGGGAGCCTGCGACCTGAGAGGAACGCGAGCGTTGGTGACAGGCCAGTGAGTCAAGCTCAGGGAAAGGGAAAAACTCCTGAGGGAACGACCGCACTCAAAAGCTTCCCCTCCTGGGGTTGGAAATTTAAGTATCCCGTTATTTCTGTTTTACGCTAGGATTATTTCCGTGCCTTTGTTTTGGTGGTTGAAGCGATACCCAATCCGGGCAGTCTAGTCACCATGGCAGACTCGGTTGCAATCTTGAGTCATTTTTTCAGCTGCTGACCGTTGCCTGTGTGACTTGAGCTCCAACGGGCAGGGGCTCTGCGTTCCCTGGAGGTTGTGGACGTTTCCCATGCGTGAGCGCGCGAGGCGTTCCAGAAAGGACCCAGCTCTCTTCTGGTGGGCCAAGTCCAGACAGGCCAGCTTGGGAACTTCATGTCCCTCGGTCCCGGTGGAGCCCGTGCCGCCCTGCCCCGAGAAAACGAGGCGTTTTTCAGGCTACACTGATAGTTTATAACCGGGTGATTCTTATTAGTGGTGCATTTGTGATTATGCCTTAAAATGATGGCAGTACCTCCTACCTGTAGCCTCTCAAACAATTAGCACAAAATGTCGGGGTAGAGCTGGGGCTTGCAAATACGGCTTCTCAGTAGACCACGTGTAAGTAGTTAATTCCTAAAGTATTATAGGCTGAGAGCAATACAGCAGCCTCAATGACCATTTACCAAAGTAATATTTCAGAATGCCCTTAAACACACACACATACTCTCTCTCACTTGAAGGTCCAAGATCCTCAAAGCAGTTTCAAGTTCCGAATAATGCCGTATGGAGTCTCCAGTGTTTGAGGACATCTTAGAATTTAGAGTACAGTAGTTCTGTGTCCATCCCAAACTCAGGTGCAGCAGTAGGTGATGCGTGACAAGACGCTGTAAGAGCTCACCAGGTGTCCAGTGTGCAACCAGGCCTCAGTGTAAGAGCCCCCTGCTTTCCTTTAAGGATTAGCATCACCATATTTTACTCGTGAGGGCCAAGTGAATTAATAAATCCAACTTTCACCTGGAGAGGATGCTGTAACAATACCAAAACCACTGA